ATGTATCTCCTAGTTTCTAATGACATGAGTCTCTATATTGATTGCAAAAACCCACAAGCCTAGGTTCAGTGCTGTAACTAGCATGTTAGCTACTCTGCAATTAAGTAATCACCAAGCAACCCAAAACCTGGTTGGAAAAGTTTCACAAAGTATCAGAAGTATCTTGATTAGCTTGCAAGCCTCCCTAAAGCAGCACTTATCCTGTTATACCAAAATAGCAGAACTTTGATTGTACTCATGTTGGACTTAGGGGGTCTGTTAGCAGAAATGAGAACTCAGCGCTGCATTAAACACTTGGCTGATCTGGAGATAACACCGTGTCATGCTGAGTGACAGGATCCTAATCAAAACACTTTCTATTCTCTTTTGTGAGTGTCTTGTCTCATTTACTAAATTTCACTCGCTGTCCACTACAAATAAGGCCTTGATTTTTCATCCAACAGGACTGTCACATGTCCTCAGCATGTAATTCAGCTTAATATTTGGAGGAAATCTAAAATGCCATAAGCAGCTTCAAATCTAGTGCTTCTAATAATTGTTTTCACTTTAGTCTTTGCATGTAATAAATACATTGAGTAAAAACTTTACAGATATTGTACTGCTAGATATGATATTTGTCTTCTAAAATTTTAGAGTATTCTATTGCTTTAAATATTTCACTTTTTCAACCACAGTTCTCTTCTAAAGATTGATCAAAACAGCCAGCGCCCTTCTTTCCCTGATTTTTTTTTTTTTAGGTTTTAAGTTTCATATTCTAAACTATGGTCATCTTGTTTATGATTGTTCTGCCTAGTGAATGGCTTACATGCTAATTTTTAACAGTTTCACAAAAAAATCTTATGCTCCTGTTTTTAAAAAAAATAGAATAAAACTTGCCAGAAATGCAGCTGAACTTTCAATATGTAGTAATTTGGGGGAGAAAGCAACCTTTTATAAAGAATTGGCAATATTACAGCACTTTTAATGCTTGTGTCATGTAAACACAACTCTTTTATAAAGCACTTGATAACTTCATTTGAATTGTATTGTACAGGTACAGTACAATTCTAAATTCTTAATATCTTCCACTATTAACAGTGGTCCTGCATCTTAGAGCTATTTCCTGACTAACTTGCAGAAATAGAGAAAAATTTTGAAATGAGTCTTCAGCTTGCCAAGTGATTGGTAATACAGAAACTGTGGAGCTTTAACAGAAGAGGTTTCCTAGTTAAACTGTTAGTGGATTTTTCTCTGTTTTTATTATTTTTTAAAGCACTAAGGACTTCATGAAGACCTAGATATTGAAATGGAATAAATTCAGTAAAATACTGTACTCTTCACTGTTCCTTATGTTCAAATTACTGTTTATTTAATTGCTTAGAAAAAGCAGAGAGAACTTGCCAAGATGAGAAGGTGCTTAAGACCAGAGGAGCTGACAAATCAGTTGAACCAAATAGACCTAAACATGCAACATGAACAGTTAGAAGAGAGCTTCCAGCAACTTGTTTCGGATTACCGAAGAGTCCTAGAACGACTTGCACAAGCATGAGGATTTGACCTGTACAGGAAACTTGCAGATTTCTGCACAGTGTTATGAAGCACATCCTTAATTGCCACTTAACTGCAACAACAAAAAAAAAACCAACCTTGTGACGTTTTAATCACATTAAGGGTGCATTGTGTTTCTGTGCATTTTGAATATTTTCTATTTTAGTGCTGTAGATTTAAAAATGTTGTTCTTCAAGTTTGGGAGCACTTATTGCTGAAATAAACTGTAGATTCTCAGATCAATAACACATAAATTGTTTGAATTTTTTAACCTTTCTGTTTTGCCTCAGGACTTAACAGATATCCAAGTAGCAAGTTAGTACATGATTGTATATATTTATACTGCAACTGTTCTAAATTTCTCCTAACTCCATCCTACTCAGACAGTTTCACTTGGGCCCTACAGTAATACTGTTTAAGCCTGGGCATTCTTGAACACATGAACATGTTACAAGACTAGTTCTTTGGACTGACTGGCATGCATCTGGAGTACAGGCTCTTTACGTGTTCTGAGAAGAGGATCCTGCTGCCACCAGCTATTAGGACCTGATCTACTTCAGATTCTACAGGGGGTAGTCTTAGGCATATTTTTTTTTTTTACCTTTTTTTTTTTTTTACCAACCACCCCTCCATGAATTTACAGGTTCATGTTTAAGAAAAAATACTTTACAATTGGAGAAGCAAACAAGGCTTTGTATTGATTCCAAAAGCACTTTCCTTACCTAATGTAAGAAACTTACAAATCTGTAGGAAGCCAGTGCTTTTATATAGTTCCCTTACTTTGTGAATTCAAATATATTCTTTTTAGAATTTTCACTCTTCTGCCTAGGATATCTTATGATATGTGGTTCATCTACTGTAGTGTCACAAACTATTACAGTTATTAATCATAAAATCACAGAATGGTTGGGGTTGGAATGGACCTCTAAGATCACCTAGTTTCAACCCTCTTGCTATAGGCAGGGACATCTCCCTCTAGACCAGGTTGCTCAAAGCCCCATATCTATTGATTTTACATTACTAGTCCTTCGTTCAACAACCAGAAAGATTGCAATCAAACCACAAGTTCTATCTGTTAAAACGTTTCACTTACAAAAGGCTATAAGCCACAAAGTTGGAAGTATTTGAAACTGTGAGACTAGGAGGTCTGTGCAATTAGTTGAAATGGAAGGCTATTACACAGAACAGGACAGATTTAAGTCCCACTCATGCAGAACATACTAGCTGCCACTATATTGGCTTATATCTCTGGAGGGAATATCATAAGGATGGGCTGGCCTCCCCATCACTCAAATCTTCCTACAGCTTAAAAAGATAAACAATACATATACTAGTACTCAAACTACTCGTTTAAATAAGTTTACCATGTTCTTTGTTCCTTGAGCTAAAAGCCTGCAGAAATGGGCTTTGCCAGAAATGAGACTACAGATGCTGTATGAGCCTCCTTTTAGACCTACAAACACGTGTGAAAAGGATCACTGATCTAACAATTCCTGCATTTCCGTGTTCAAAATAGTCTTGCTTCTCGAGTCTAGAGAAACAAAGAGCAAACAAAAAAATCTTTCATTCTTCGAAGTTCATTGCAAATACAAGAATTGCACCCAAACTGAAGGAAATTCAGGTAATAACAAATGAAGGCAAGTCCTTGGGAGTAGCATTTCAGAATTCCCTTTTACCACTGCAAAAGATCTTTAAACCAGGAGCAGAAACGTACGTTATTTTCTTTCTTTAGTAGATAAAGAGCATGCAGTAGTGAAAACATTTCTCAGGTACAGGGTATGTGCTCCATTTAAGACCTCTTCACATTTTGAACAGAAGAGATCAAACAAAAGAAATCTAGATCAATGGGAAGAGCTTGATATCCAGGGTTGATTTTTTTGTTTCTTTATTTCTAAGTGGTATGACAATAAGGGAGGTGTTCCACATTCAACATCTGCTATGTTTAGATGCTTTTCTTCAAGTTTTCCTCAAAACTGGATGGTGTTCATGTTTTTGAGACCTTCATAGTTTCATGGAAAAGATAAAATCTTCACTTTGAATGAGTTCAATGTGATAGGGACAGTGAACTTGTCATTGTGCATTCCTTAAAGCTGTAAGAATTTGGTAGAGTTTGCCTCATTTTCTACATTTTGCATTTACATGCTTGCTGTTCACTAACAAATGGTGATGTATATTGAGGTCCGTGAACTTCAGGTATCGCTGGAAGGCACAACTGTATGGATGTGATCTAAGTCTGCCTCACTGCACTTATAAACTCTCCTGACTTTACTCATCTTTTCTAGAACACATTTCAGCAAGATTTCCCAAGGCAAGCTAACTTCCCCTTCCCTGCTGAGCTACTGCATTTTGCAGGTTCAGCATCATGGAACAGATAAATACCAGTGCTGAAGAAAGGACACCTACTTGTGATTAGTACAACACCGAAAAACCACCAGCTTGGCCGGCAAAAGCTGCTGTGAACTAAATAATCTTTTAAGACAATCTCTAAGTCTAAACAGTTTGAGCCTAAACCCAGGAGCATCCAATTGCTATGCTTAAACTAGAAGCATATTTCTATATTGCTCCAGGTAAGATTTAATGTATTAATAGCAATAAAACACCTTTATTGTTTCATAGCCTTTTATAGACTGCTTTCACCCTTAAGTTTTAAAGCACAGCTTTGTGTCTTCCTTCCCACAACTTTTGCTTATGTTACTATTGGCCTGTGTACCATGCTGGTGGAAAAAAACATGGAGATTCTACATTTAGAAAGTATCAACACTGACAGCATGGAGACAATGTAAGTCAGACAGAATCTGCAAGACTGTGAAGAAGGGAACAGAGATATGCTCAAAGGAGCTTGGCTAAAAAGTGATGTCGCCAGAGCTGCGTCTCAACACAAAGCAGAGGACCACTCAAATCACCACTGGTCATCTTCAGCATTTCAGAGGATTTGCCAAACATGAACAAAAGACAGCTACATACATCTGGTTCTGATTGGTAACAGAACTTGAAAATAGCAGTCGTGATTCTTTGGGCATACTGTGTTAGGATATAGAATATCTCTCTTTTGCTGAGATAGTAATCTTTGTTTTGTTAATACAAATTTCCTAACAAACTTCATCTGCTATTTATATTAGAAAAAAGAGAAAATCCTAACCTAAGCACAAATTAAAGACTACTGAATAATGACTGTTAAATTTTCAGATTAATCTAGACATTATAAACATTACAGAACAGTTGTTCTCTTGGAACATAAAACAGACTTCTTTTAATCGATCCCCTCTTGGTTTCTGATCTGCAAAAGGAATTGGGAAATCTCACTGCTAATGTGCACCTACAAGTATTTGGGAAATAACCTGCTGCTTAAGGACAAGTTAATTACAAAGCTGTCAACAGTGTCATTCTAATATTGTCTCCAGTTCTCACATCTTCTTATGCCATCAACAAGTTTTGAGGCTGTTACAATATGGAATTATGGTCTTACAGCAACAGACAAAAGCCAAATGTTCACTTTATTTTCTTTCTCAGCGGCATTTGATTTCCCTGAATAGGAAATACTTATTGACTTGAGGAAAACAGGTGATAATAGGTTTACCTAGACCATTTTGCTTCTCTCCTTTAGCAACACCTCAGGAAAAAATGATAGAGAACCGCTCCTCATCCGTGACTACCTTCATGTGAGATATGCTACTCTCTGCAGGCACAGAGAAGTACACCCATTCCAGCAATGCACAGTTACATATACCAAACAGTGACAGCATGTGACTGCTTTACACTGAACTTCATTCTCATAGAACCAGCAGTTGGGTATCTGCAGTCCTAAAAATAACAAATAACAAAAAATAACATAAAACAGTGTCTGATGAAGTTCGAACTTGTGAAAGACAATACTGCGTCGTACAACTAGGATCAGGGCAAAGATTTACTCATTTCTGCTCTGCAGATTAAATAAATGTACATGTACCTCTCGCCAGTGAGTAGCTGGTAATGATGCTCATGAGGTGCAACTATGCAGCTTAGGAATGCTATTGATTTATTTCCAGCTATATTTTTCTTCTATTAAAATCCTGTCACACTGCTCTCACATTATACATGTCACTTAGTGGAGAACGTGGCTGTATGAAGTTAATCATTTGATTTTTGGAGGCAACATAAGATACTGTATTGATCTTTAAACTGCTCCATGGTGTGGATACAAGCTGCATGATAGGCCACCTACCATGCTGTGGCAGCTGATTAACTGATGCACTTTGCTCATGAGATATATCTAGGAGCACTGAGGAGAATGCAGCACCCTTTTTGTGATCACAGAACTGGAGTTTGCTCCTTAGAGGCACAAATTCTTATAGTCTGACTGTTATGCTCATCCATTTCTCGGGCTTTTTCTAGAGTAAATAGCACAGGTAAATAACATCACTATTCCTATTTGAGTGGGGCTTTGAGTCTATCCTTGTTAGCTACATTATAAAATCGAATTTAAATTACCCATGGCTACAGCAGGAGAAAAAGAACTCTAGAGACAAACAGCCTCATCTTCCTTTCAGAATGTCGCTGACTCCTCTGGGTACCACGTGTACCTACACGCATGTGGGGGTGTACAGGAAAGATACTCACATTACTTGTACATTTCAGCTCCTTGCAATTACTGCCCTGGCACTTTCTGCTCATTTGAGTCCTTTCATTCTGATGCTTGCCCGTGGCTGTGTGATTCACATCCCACAACACCGTTTCTCAAATATCTGTGGAGCCACAAAAACATAATTTCAAACCAACTGAAAATGCTTAAAATAAATAAATAAATAAATAAATGCCGAATCCAAGCACAAAAGTAGTGGGAAAAAAATGAAATTTGCAATCAGACGTTAGAAGTTCAGCTCGGTTTTCATCGGAGTTCAAAGAAGCCCGTCGCACTACCCCTACAGGGCGGCTCTGGGTACTTCTGCAGGCGTGGTGACGCCCCACCAGCGCTCGAAGAAAGCTGAGCACCACAGCGAGCTTCGCTCTTCCTGATCTTTATTAAACAGGCCAAATTTGGCTGCGCAGAGGAAATAAGAAGAAATAACGCGAGTTTGAAGTTCAAGCCCCGACCTTTAGATTCTGTAGAGACCCCAACAACAAGTAAATAGCAAAAGCTCAGAAAGTTCAGAAAAAGCAACTCAAAACTTTCTTCACAAATGCCGTGTTACCATAGCGGAGTAAAAAAGTACCAAGCTCAAAACACGCTAGAATACCAGGAGGGCGTAACTCCGGCATTTGCAGAACAACGCTGCCGCGCTCCCGCGCCCGTCCCGCCGCGACGAGCGCCGTCTCACAGCCGCGGTTCTCGCAGCCGAAAGCTGACGAGGCGGTTATTCCCGCCCGAGCCGCCCGCAGTCGCGCACACGCAGGCCGGAGCTCCGGATCCCGGCTCCCGGCTGCAGGCGCGAGGCGCGGCGCGGCCGGGCGGCGGCCGGGCGGAAAGGGGGTGCTGCCGGCCCGGCCCTCCGAGCCGCGCCCTGACGGCTGCCGCCCGCTGAGCCCTCACCCCGAGGGCGGCGGCAGTGCTGAGGTGCGGCGGCGGCCCGTCACGTACCTGCCGCGCGCCCGCGGGCGGGACTCGCTTCAGGCGACACGCGCGCGACGGCCGCGGCGTGAGGTGGACGGACCGCTCCGGGCCGCCTCCCGCGGCCACGTGATCTCGCCCCGCGTGGCCAAGATGGCGGCGCCCAGAGCTGTCAACGCGCTGTGGGGCGGAGGTGAGTGCGCGCCGCCGCGGGGCGGGAGGAGACGCAGCCTCGTTCCCTCGGCGGGGGGAGAGCGGCCGCAGAGTGGGCTCCGCCGGCCCCAGCGCCCGAGGGCTGCGGGTCTGGGGGCCCCGCGGAGATTGGGACTCGCTCGAGATCGCTGGGAGCACCGCGGCGCGGGGCCTGGCGCTGTGTGAGGGGACAGCCGAGCGCGGGCTCCGGGTGCGCCCCGTCTAACGCTGCCGCGCTTTGTGGAAGCGCGCCGGGCGCGCACAGGCTGCAGGAGCGCTTCCCTCTAGGCTTTATGTGATCATCTTAGCGTTTAACTAAGAAAAAACGTTTTCTGACAGAACTGTGTGTTTATCCTACCAACCCGCTGAATCTCGGAACTTTAACGTGCGTGCAGGTGCTTTCCCGCCCGCCTTTCCTCACGCCGCGCTCCGGCTGAAGGCGCCTTTCCTACCGCGCGCCCAGCAGAAGCGAATCGCTCGTTTGCCCTACGGCCGTGCTCACCCGGCACTACTGCACCAAGTGCTCGACAGAAAATGCGTTATCTCACTGGTGTGAGGCGATTTACCTCTCGTCGCTTCCCCTCGGGGTTTTGCTGTCTTAAACTAAATCAGGCTTTGAGCCCTTTGAACAATAAGAATGCTTCTTCTTCGCTTCCGTTGCAAAATCTTGAATGTGTGTATAGGAAGAAGCACCTCACAGTGATCTCAATGAAAGGCTTGTACGATTAAATACACATTTTGTTTAGGTCTTGAATAATTATTATAGTAATAGAGAGTAGAGCAATTCCATGTTAATTTTAACTTGCACATTAAACTGCGACACGACACTGCAGTGCTATGCAGCTGACATAGCAGCCCTTTTTTCACTGTATTGATCCTGATCTTCTACTGCGCTTTTGTTTTCCATTCTGCCCAATGAGTTTTGAGCAGCCTTTGGAAAACGTAAAGGCTTTTTCTTCACAATTAATCCTTCATTATTCAGGGCAGAAGAGCCACATTGGTTGTTTTTTCCTTGATGAAGGCTAGTGTCCACAGAGAAATGCCATTTTACTCAGATTCTTGGAACCTGGGCTTCAGCTGAACGCTGGCTTTCTGAGTCTCCTATTTGTTTTACTTTAAATGCCAGTCAAATTCTCTGTGCTTACGCATGTGCTATTTGGAAACTGAATCACATTTTTAGTGCATGATACCATTCAACACTGGCTATTTTTTTTTTATTTTTATTTTTAAATCTCAAATGATGTGAAATTTAGCATGCAGCTTCATTCTTGATTTCTTGCTTCAGAAGCGATACATCTGCACACTTTGTTTTGGGTGTTGTGTGGCCATGTGTGGTCAGTACAGCTGCCTCCACCCCTCCATGCCCAAAAACCCCATGTCTGTCATTCAGTTAAAATACCCAAGCCATTTAAATTTGTTAAGCCTTCATACTCTCCCTTCAGATGTCAAACTTTATTCAGATCCCCTGATAGAAATACATTTCCAGAAGTTGAAAAAGCAAAAATGTCATAGTTCAGACAAGACTGATTAAACTGAATCTAATTTTCCCTGAATTGGACAGTTCAGTATAATTTAATTTGCAAATACTGAAAGACAGAAGTAATTTTAATTAGATTTCAGTCCACCTAAGGGAATCTATTCCACCTAAATTGAAAGAAAATTACTTTTTGATAGCCTCTTATGTGATATCTCTTTATACTTCTGGTGTCACATTTCTATGAATGATGAAAGTTTTCATGATTATGGAACTGTTTCTAGATAAGCACATTTGAAAAGCAGAGATCTTGAAAATTTGTGTGCTGGTTAAATACTTTCTCCTTATACTGGAAGGAATTAGGCTGTCATAAAAATGTATATTCATTATGTTTGAAGATGTTGAATGATTATGCTTGCAAACAGTTAAAAAGTGTAATTTTTTTGTTAGATGTATCAGAGAATTTATTTGAATATTTCCTGTCTTGTTAGAGGCAGAATTGCAATACTGTCAACTGTATGGGAACTGCTGAATCACAGCCTGAACCTCTGATTGATCACCTGAGGTGAGCACTGAGTCAGCCAGAGGAGCACAGGTGAAGCCAATTCACCTGTGCTGCAGGAAGGGGTGGAGCCTGGCTGCACTTCTCCTAGACCTATTTAAGAGCTGACTGCCAGTAGGGAAGGATCTCTCCTGGAGATCCCCTCCTCTGGAGTTTCTTAGTGAGCCCAAGATATGGGTAAGCATTCTATCTGTTCTGTTTGGGTATAATAACTGCACAGCCAAACTCTCTGGTACAGTTCATAACTGTAACATCTGTACATCCATTGGTTATACAGTCAACCCAAGGAGAAGATATGCAGCTTTCTAAGTGTGTGGGTGGCTTGCACAAACCTCTGGGTTTCTGTAAGCTCCAGCCTGCATGTCCAAGGCCTTGCTCTGGGTTTAGATGCCACTCTTTTTTGAACAGTATTTTTGAAGAATTTTGCAGGTAATGCATAGGAATGCTAATTGTATTTACTATTTTGTAAAAGATAAATAAGAAACTGCTATAACAGCCACAGTGATGGCATGCTAACCTCTCACAGTTTGTGCTTATAAATAGTACTGGTTGTATGGTGTTTTACCAGATTGTAAATGCTCTAATTATGTATTGTGACAGTTTCAGGTATTACAATAATTGTGTCTGTGATGTTCATTAGTAATAAAATCAAGAAGGCATCAAAGAACTGCATGTCTCCAAATACAACTTAGTTGATTTCAGGCACAATAATCTTTTATTGATCTATTAATTTCAGGCAAGTAAATTATGGTAGACTAGAAGCCCCTATTGTCTTGTAATGAAGTTTTAGGACTCGAAGCCACAGGAAAATAACTGATGAGAAGACATGCTTTGTTGAACAAGTCTCTTATTGTGTTAAATATTGCCATGACTGATTTCTTACATTGCTTCCCTATCTCTACCACTGAATGAGTATTAATCATCTGTGATGCGTATTATTGCCAGACATATGAAGTGAAGTTACTGTAGACTGAAGGGTGTGTGATGTATCTCTTAGATATGTGGTCTGTGTGTGCAGGCTGTAAGTCTATTTGCTTGTGCATTACTTTGTCTGCATTCTGACAGAACTGGGCATCTTACAGGTGTCCTAAACAGGTGCAGGTAAGCTTTTAAATCCTGCTCGTGTGGAAAAGCTGTGGATGTTGTCTTTAGACTGTTTGTAATGTGCAGTACTGGAGATTGTATTTTTCTGTAGATGGAAAGCCATATTAAAATGTTTGTTTTCAGGACATTTTCTGATAATTTTACTTTTCTCCCATCCCTTAGCACCATGAAGAGGAAATATGTGATTAATACATGTTTATAAATCTTTTCCAAAATAAAGGGGAGAGGGGGAGGCATAGCTGGAGTAAGGCTGTTGCACTATGGCTTCAAAGCCTCATGCTTCCAAGTTTGCCTAGAAGTGGAGTCTCTTTAGAGATCTTTATGTATTAGCAATATTTTCTGTATTACAAAGTGTATTATTGGGGTGCGTAGATCAGGTCTGTTTGCAGGTCTGGTAGTAATGTGTTGTTGAGTGTTGTTTATCCTTCAGCCTGTCTAGGTAAAGTAGAGTATTTCAAAGAAATAAAAGGAACAAAAATATCTTCTCCAGCAAGGTTACTCATGAGACTATTCTGAAGCATTTTCAAAGTTAGAAACATTAGCTCAGACCTGGTGGGGATTAGACTAATAGAAAAAGATGTCAGTAAATCACTGAGGCAATATGTAGCAATTATTTTATGTCTTTCAGATAAAGTGTGTGTGAATATATAATATATAATAATATTATATATATATATTTATATATAATTTTATGTAGTATTTTTGTGTGATTAGACATGGCTTTGACATTTAAGGTAGTAAAGCAAGCAGGCAGCTTTCAAAGTATCATTTTTATGGTGAACTCTGCATACAAGCATACGGAAATGTGCTATAGAGCCAGCAGCTTGGAGGTGCTTAATTAAATAGATAGATGAAGTACCTGCTGGAATTATCTTCACATCTCTCTTTCCTGTTTTTTTGGCTTTGGAAACATAGTCAAGATCAAAACTGTTACTTTACTGAGAATATCTGTCCAAAACCTCTGTAGTTTCTACCACCTGCAAGGGTAGAGGGCTCTTCCCACTCTGGGTACAGTTTCAGAGATGCCCTAGGGAACCAGTCTGCTTCCATCTGTTTGATAATGTGCTTTGAAATGAGAATTACATTTTTTTTCAGATGTTGCTTGCCCTTTGCTAAGTGTGATCATAAACTCAGCATATAGAAGACAAGAAGGTTTATTCTCGTAACAAGAGTAAACCATTAGGATTTCCTAGCACTGTTGATAGTCAAATACTAAAAGCATCTTTTTACCTGTATCTTTATCATTGTTAATCTTAGAAATGTGCAAATCAGAAATTAAAAATATTCAGTCCTCACCTGTAAAAAATCAAAGTTTCTAAAGCCATTTAATGCATTAAAAAAAAAAAAAAACACAACCCTTTATAACATATAGATAACAGTCCTGTGGGAAACGTTTCCTGGTATCTCAGGCTGATAATGAGTATGTCCTATAAGTCTGAAGGTTTTTTGGCAGCTGGGAAAAGTGATTGAAAACTTTTGTCAGAGAGTTTTCAAGATCAAATGATACTTGGCTGCACTGTGCAATATGTGAGCTGGGCAATTAGCTGGAAGCAAACGT